GATCAATCCTACCATTTCACCCGTTTTCGAAAAGCCGACTCCAGTCCATTGATTCGGCTGTAGTGGAACGTCGAGAATAAATTGCACATTGTTCTCATGCCGAATCCACGTCATGTTGTATTTGCACATTTCTGCAGAACATCTTTTGGGAACGACAAATTCGTTCCGACACAACTTCTTGGATGATTCATGTTTCTGCTCGAAGAAGTTGACAGTCAGTGCTCCCCACTGAGGGGTGACGTTTTCTGTGGTGTTCAGAGGACCTTTCAGCCAAAATAATATCATAGGCTCATCGGTGATGGAACTGTCCACCAGTTCGGTTGCCATGAGTTTTCGACGAACTACCATTGTAGTGACGCCATTTTCAGAGTAGGCGATTGCTCCGGTCATACTCTGGTGTCCTCTGAAATTATTGTCAGTCTCTGGGAGACTTCCAGGAAACGCAAAGTAATCCTCAACTTTTCCCCAATGGTCGAAAGCGGAGCCAATCAAAATATCTGCACAGTCAAGAACAGGAAGTTCTAAAAACGTTTATCAGTTTTACCACCAGAAGCAAGAGTTTACAAGATCAACCTCACCTGTCATCTTCGATTTGATTTTTGTCGATTCGGCAGAAACCTCCCGTTTTCTTCGAGTTTCACTAACCATTTCATCCTCTAAAATAGAATTATAGTTTCAGAGAGGTTTAGAAGCATCTCGATACTGTAATTCGTAAAGCAGCTATTCTTTTTCAACTGAAACATGTGTCAATCAATGAAAATTATAATGGAGAATTTTGAAACATAATTCTGAAAGGGTATCTAATGCTAGCATCTGAATTATCATCTTGTTTCAGATAAGCGAACAACCTCTTGATATATACGTTGGCTGTGACAGATACTCAGTTACAGGCAGAAAGTGGTGAGACGACGAGGTCGTAGCTGGAATCGAGCTTGATAAATCTGATCCTCAGAGAAGGCATCACAATGCCCAATGACAGTGTCACGTCTAGAAGACAGAGGCAGGCCTTATGAAGAAAAAGTCGGTACCTTCCGGTCATACATCGATTCGTCAAAGGTTAAAAAATACAACTTTTGTAAAAAATGTGGCATAAATTAGAACAGTCAGTTTGCAGGAAATTCTCCAGCGGCTAGCAAAACTTTATGCTCCATGAAAACACAAATAAATGGGCCTCAGCAGCCAGTGCGTCTCTTGACTCAGCCACGGCGGCGTTCGGTCCTCTAACCTCCTTCTAATAGACAAACCCAGGCTTCCCGTTTCAACTTACACCTGTAGAACCCTGGCGAGGGACGGGCTTCATCTTAGTTGACCGCCTTGCTTTGCTTCCCTGCGTAAAGCATGCGACAATTAACGGTAAGTCATCATGATAACGTGATAAGCTCAGCAACGGAGTCGATCGAGAATTCCTGGTAGCTGAGAGATAGTGGACTCTAATCACGCGAATGTAATTGCATTAAGTTGCACTGAGTAAAACATGAATATTCTTTACTCATACAAATATTAGACAAAATGATGATTGACGGTTTGTCTATATCAGCATAACTTTAAATATATATATATATATATGACAAATGAATGCTTTTCTAAATTGTTAAATCACTTGTGATCTAAGACTTCATAATGGAGATTACCACAACATTACTCAAATAGTAAAAAAGGCAAGCA